AAAATCTTGATCACTCCTTTGCTAGATCCCTCAATTAGAGAGTTTGTTGTCATTTTTAGCTTATTCTTGGGTTATTCTTGGATTTGAGCATGTTTTGAAGCTAAGACTTCAGATATGGACATTTTAGGGCCTCCATGGACATAAAGTTGCCAACTTTATCATGTCTTAGCCCTCATTCATGCTCTAAGTCCCTTAACAAGCCTTGCTTTAGTGTTTAAGCCTCTTAATGTCATGCACGGACGTAAAGTTAGCAACTTTACGTGGTATTTCAGTCCTAAGGGACCAGATCTATAGTTTGGGGCTTTAGATTCAGCTGGAAGGGGCTGAATATGCTAAGACAGGGAAAACTCGACGAGTTGCCCTGCCAACTCGATGGGTTGGTTCGGGTTTTCCCGCTTTTTGGATACTGAATGGACTTGACGAGTTGGTTTGACCACTCGGCGAGTTGACTCAGTTCTTTCATGATTTTTTGAGTGCTGAAGGAACTCGACGAGTTGCTAGATGCACTCGACGAGTTGGGTCAACATGGACTGTTGACCTTGACTGTTGACTTTGACTTTGACCATGGTTGACCAAGTTTGACTTTAAGGGTATTTTGGGTATTTCGGGATTTGAATGGAGTTGATCGCATGGTGGTTGTAGGCAGTTGAGTTTGGAGCTGTGTTTTGGGAGTTGGATCTTATCATTCAGTGCTACTTGTGAGGTGAGTTCTTCTCACTATACTAACAAGTTCTAAGGCACCAAGGTCGGCCCTTTTTGGATTGTATCATGGTTTATCGTGTGATGATATGTTTAGTGATCTGTTAGATTTGTATCTTGGTATATAGGATGGTGCTATGTTTAGTGATTTGTTAGATCTGTATCCTGGTATATAGGATGATGTTATGATTAGTGATCTGTTAGATCTGTATGACTACCTGTACATGCTAGCTAGCGTTTGATATCTATATGTTGATTGTGTGATTGCAGGTGGGTTGAGGCGGTCATACTATGTGCAGAAGGCTAACAGACCCAGGGCGACCCGGATAGACTAAAGGCCAACGAGGCATACCAGTCATGCCGAAGGCTCGGAGAAAAGTCCAGACAGGCTGAAGGCCCGGTAGGGCGGACCAGATATGCTGAAGGTTTTGAGAGTGGTCCAGATAGACTGAAGGCCCAGTGAGGCGGTCCAGTCATAATGAAGACTCTGTATTCATACTGTTTGTTATGATAATGTTTTGTTGTATGGCGTTGGTATTTTGGGGGAACTCACTAAGCTTCATGCTTATAGTTATGGATTTTGTTTCAGGTACTTCGGATGATCGTGGGAAGTCGAAGGCTTGATCGTGCACCTCCTCACTTTTTATCTTATGATTTCTGGGGAAACTCTGATATTGGATTATTTTGAAACCAATTGTAAACAATGAATGGGGTTTTGGTTGATTTAAAAGTTTAAAATTTTCATGAATTTTATGGATGTTACATAGGGTTTGCGTCTAAAGCTTATTAGATGATCCATGAGCGTAAAGTTGGAAACTTTATCTTTCTAGACGTCCCTATGGATAGGGATCTGAAGTTTGGGGCCTTTGGATTCAGGCAAAATGGCTTAATGCATTAAGTGGGTTGGCAGACTGAAGAACTTGACAAGTTCATAGGTGAACTCGGCGAGTTAGTTTGGGGTTGCCCCGATTCTGTTAAAACAGAGGGACTCGACGAGTTGTAGGAATACTCAACGAGTTGGATCGCAATATCGCGATTCTGATATGGGGTGGACTCGACAAGTTAGAGGGGTAACTCGATGAGTTGGGTTAACTCGGAGTGTTGACTTTGACTTTGACTTTGACTTTGACCTTGACTTTGATTTTGACCTTGACTTTGACTTTGACTAAGGTTGACTTTTAAGGGTTTGAAGGGTAAGTTGAATCTAAGGAGTTGTTTATGTTTAAGGAATTGATAGAGTTGATACTCGGAGCTTGGATCTATTCAGCTATAGTTCACACTTGAGGTGAGTCTCCTCACCATACCAATGGGTCTAAGGCACTAAGGTCGGCCCATGTTGTTAGTGTTGGATTAGGTGTCTAAGCCCATAACTATAATTGGTATGTACTTGACCCAAGAGTATCATGGTCCATTTGGGTTGTATGGCACTGGAACAATTTGGATAGACTTTTTGGAGAAGAGGATATTTATGATTTATTAATATATTATAAGTTCTAATATATTAATATGAAATCATATTATTTAATTAGTATTGATCAAGAATTAATTTGGAATTAATTTTGTGATCAAAAGAGACTAATTAAATATATGGGGACTGATTATGTAACTCATTCATTCTTATAAAGTGGGCTTATGATCCATACTTCTTTATGTTGGGCTAAACCCATGTGGTAACCCATGGATACTCCATGGAGGTTAAAACCCATGGAGCATAAAGAATGTGGAAGGTCATTTATCGTCTTCAGAAACTTCTATTCTCCAGCCAACCTCCAAAGTTCGTAAGCACCAAGGATTTTTATAGTTTTCGAAATTACTCTTCTCACGTCGTGAGAAAAGGCTTCTCACGTCGTGAGATCAATCCTAATCCGTATCAAACACGTACTCTGGCCTCCGGATGCTTATCTTCTAGAATCTTAACACTCATGTCGTTAGATATGATTCCTCACGTCGTGAGGTTGTCTTTTTTGCTGAATTCTTCATTTTTTAAGTTTTAAACCTCCAAAGTTCTGATCATTGTCGCTCTTGGTCCTTTTTCTTCAAGATGGTTCCTTTTGGCTGCAAAATATAATTAAACCTTATAGGTACAATTTATCTTTGCAAATAACCAAAATATGTATAAAAATGTATCCAAATATTGCCTAAAAATGTGTATAAATATGACAAGATCACTTACCATCTATTTAAGCGAGTCAAAGATGCTTCTACGGATACATCAAACTTACTCGACTTTTATTCGGAACCTTATCGTATATCATAGTTAATGGCCTTTATAGTGATACACTATTCATTACCTAAGTTTAACCACTTAGTGTTCCCATTCGGCTATAACTGTTAATCCTTAGAGCGAGATACATATGTATAGATCTATACGGGTTGACACCCCCACCTGCGGTTGCTAGCTACAACCTCGACGGATCAATTGAAGCGGGTGATAATTATCTTTAGACGTCCAATGAAGCGTCGTAAGGGGTTATATCTAGTCACATAGCTCAGTTATAAAACTCACTATAGGCATTAATCAGACTCTTTATCTAAAAACCATGGATTCGGTTTCTCTATTTATTAAACATTTTGAGTAAGGATTTACTCATGATTTCTCTAGTAACCATGGATTCGGTTTCTTTGTTTATCAAACATTTTAAGTAAGGATTTACTCACGATTTATCTAGAAACCATAAATTCAGTTTCTCTGTTTATCAAACATTTTAAATAATGATTTACTCATGATTTCTCTATAAACCAGATTCGGTTTCTCTGTTTATCAAACATTTTGAGTAAGGATTTACTCACGATTTCTCTAGAAACCACAGATTCGGTTTCTCTGTTTATTAAATGTTTTGAGTATGGATTTACTCATGATTTCTCTTTTTATCAAACATTTTGAGTATGAATTTACTCATGATTTCTCTGTTATCAAACATTTAAGTATGAATTTACTTATGATTTCTCTGCTTAACAAACATTTTATGTATGGATTTACATATGGTTTATCTCTTTATCAAGCATTTTAAGTATGAATTTACTTATGGTTTATCTATTTATCAAACATTTTAAGTATGGATTTACTTATGGTTTATCTCTCTAACAAACATTTCAAGTATGAATTTACTTATGATTTATCTCTTTATTAAACATGGTTTTAACTACAAAAGGAATACTCTTTAGACTTTTAATGCATCATTACTACGGTTAGCAGAAAAATGTAACTCTCACAAACCTTTGTATTGACTCTCAAATTACATGTATTCTCAGAAGATCATTGAACCAGTTTTTAGCTGAAGAAACGTTCATGAATTTCGGGCAACCTAATTTTATCTAGCTTTTGTTTTATCGGCCTATCTGTTAAGGCAATCTATGAAAATATTATTATTATTGTATGAACCATGTATTTGAACCTTAAAGGGAGATATAACTATTGTGATGTTATTGTTGTAACTTGTGATGTATATTCAATTTGCTTGCGATCCATGAACTAAGTTGCACAGCCCAACGTATTCTGCCGCTTCAGCCGGGGGTGTGACAGATTATCTTAATGAGTTCTTGTTTTTGAAGGAACTAAAAAGAAATGTCTTTTTTGGCAATGGGGTGATGAAGATAAAGGATCTGACTCAATTGAAGTGAGGATATCAATTTTATGAAATGATTTTAATGTTTACAAAGTGAAGACAAATAAGGAATTGGCATAATTGAGAAGGAATTTGTGAATCCATAAATTCCTTCTCAGTATCACTACAAGAGATTGAGAATAGACGTTGTTTGTTTTTCTCTTATCTAAGCTCTAAATCAATATATAAATAACAATTTTAATCTGTTTATTCCATGTCAATAAATATAATATCATGTCATTTGTCAACTAATTGTATACCTAACGAATCTGGTTGCCGGCTTGCTTCTAATAAGAATTGAACAAAAGTGTAAGTTTATTGGGGTTTTTAAGTTTTTTTTAGACAAAAGGTTACGTTCGTTGGGTTTTTTAACAGACATAACACAATTGAGGTTTTGTGAAAGGTTTCGAAACTTCGTTGGTCTTACAAGTCATTTCCCCGATATTTAATTCCACGTAATAAGCCATGTCTTCTATTTCTCTTCGTTGAGTTCTATTAGGCGGTTGGTTCTAATGAGAATTGAACAAAAGTGCAAGTTAGTTGGGTTTTTTTAGACAAAATGTTAAGTTCGTTAGGTTTTTCTTGATAAACAAAACATGATTGGGGTTTTTTGAACGGTTTGGAAACAAACTAGACTTGTAAGTCATTTTCCCTGTAATAAAACAATGTGTACATAAATACACGTATGACCCTAGGTACAAATAAAGAATCTTTTTAGATAAACGAAATCAAATTTCTTCAAGATTACAATACGAGGGCATGGTAATGTTACATTAAACTACAACGATGGATGTATATTTATTGGCGAAAAGAGCAAAAGAGAAGAAAAAAAAATCAGACATAATTAATAACAACGTTCATGCATGCGTATGCATCATGAAGACAAATTAACAATAAGGAAAAGCTCATGAGCAGATGAAGCTTTTTCTCGTAAATGATTAGAGTGCTCGTGATTTTACAATGTCGAAGCTCATCTCACTTGGGTCCGTGGCTTGCAACTCGACTTGGATTCCATCCAATTCTCTCTTGAATCTGTCCTTAGAGCTTGCATACACCATCTTTGCTCTCACCTTCGCTGTATCTGGTGCCCTGTTTTTTTATTTATAAACATATTCAAAGTTTCAGATGGAACATAAACAAAAACCGAGTTAATTATTGGAAGAAGAAAAAAAAAAGAATTGGTTAGCAACCAAGCAATAAAGAAGATCTTGCTTTTCTGGCAATTCTCATCAGTGATAAAGTCAAAGTCAAAGACAGCATAGCGACATTCATCACGAGGGAGAGAGTTTGTGAAATCCTCGTAGTTCTCATCTGGGCTTCCGATCTTATCCACAATCACCTGTTGCTGTTCGATCTTGAAAGTAATGAATCGGTAGTTCCTCTTTGATTTTAGCTCCAAAAACTTCAACTTACATTCGTCATCCACAGCCATGCCAGATGCCGCGTTCGCCTAGGCATACATATATCGTCATCACAACAAAAAAAAAAAAAAAAAAAAAAAATACAATGCTCGTCATTACAGTGTGTGCATGGATCATGCAGAAAAACATGTAACAAATCATGATTAACATGAAAACAAACAAAATCCTCTGTTTCTTGATACAACAGACATGAATTTGTGGCATATTTTTCAAGAACGAGTACCATGGGAAAGGATCATGCATGCAGAAACACACGTTAACGTTAAACAAAGCCAAATCTTTGAGAGGTTTTTTTCTGCGTTTTTCATGTAAAAGAGATGAACTAATATGATAGAGGGGGAAAGAGATGCATACATACCATGGTTGTTGGAGTAATGGAGGAATCAGATTGACAACAAAATTGCAAGAAAGAAAGAAAAGAAAGTATGAGGAGAGATGCTTGAAAACTGGAGAAGTTTTAGTGAAGGAATTAGATGAAAGAAATTTGCGGGGAAAGTAGAGATCTTAAGGGGGAAAATTGAAGGTTGAGAAATTCGTCTTTCAGCCTCTTTTGCCTGACCACTCATCCACTCCTATTCCCATTATTTCATTCTATGGATAATATTTTTCTAATAACATCGCATCTCCTTAATTAATTAATATATAGTTAAATATGTACAATACTTTTAACTAATAATTAACACAAGAAAAAACATGTTTGGTTGTCAAACAAAAATATAATTTATAGATATCGGAATATTTTAACTGTTTTTTATGTTTTATATTGTTATTTTCTTCCATGGAAAGTCATAAATAGTTTATGAAGGGTTAACTTGCGCACTAAAACAACTTACATCGTGCGCGCATGCATATTATGTCCATGACTAATTAAACCTTCACTCCATATATTTTCAAACCATTTGATGTTTAATAATCATAAATTCGTAATTACGGGCGTCTATAAGACTATTGGGTGTGGGCAACGGTGTTTCCACGTTATTACATGTTATAACATGAAGTGGGGGTGGTATTCTTATGTTATTAAATGTTATAACATGATGTTAAGATGAGAGAGATAGAGAGAAAAAGAGAAAAAAAATGATTTGATTGGGTGTTATCTCCCGTTTCCGTTACCACATCTAATAACACAAAGATGAGGCGGTGTTTCAGCCGTTATCCTACGTTTTTAGGCGTTTTAGCGTGCCACGTTATAATAATGGGAGTGGGTGTTGCCCACTCCTAGTAGTCTAAAGATGCGTCACATGGGCGACCGCATAGAATTCATGTCATAAGAAGGCCCACATAATATGTATTATATGTAATTGAACAAAAATATTTAAATAATTAATTAACTCCAAAAGAAATCAAAAAATTATTGTCTATTTTATTTTTTCATGAGACAACTAATAAAAACAAAACTACACTGATAGACGGTGGTTAATAAAAATAAATATATTTTTAGATAATACTAATAGATATCAGTTACCATATACAATATATTATGAATCTTTGATTTTTTAAGTTTGCTTGTATACATAGTTGATGATAGTGATGTTTGTCCGTTGATCATTGTAATTCAAGAGGTTGGACGTAACGATATGTATGTGACTTGGTTGAAGGTGATGGTCATAACCAATACAATGGGAGGGGAAAAGGCTCTTGTGAAAACATATCTAGCGGAAACAGGAGCAACAATCCAGTAGGTAATTTTATCTGTCACAGTTTACCTCAGTATTATAGTGTTCATGAATATGGTACTATTCTTGAAAACTTCGTATAATCGCCGATTCACTTTGTGGATCTTGGAAATTTGAAGTATGTTGATGAAGATGATGTCGGTACATATCTTCATAATGTCGGTACAGATGATAATACTGAATATTGACAAGAAGTTCTAGTTAATCATGTCAGTAAACATGATGATACTTTATATCAATAAGAAGTTTCAGTTCTGAACTATGTCAATCTAGCACCTTACGGGGATGTGGTAGATGTTAGTTTAGATGTAACCGACCTAAAAAAAGAAATTTTGATCCAAAATGGTCGGATGATGAACATACAAAAAGTTATTCAAATAACCTATTATATGGTATGCCCCTATATTGTTGTGTTCGGTTTCAGTTTTATCGGTTTTGCTCAGCCCTAAACGTTTAGTCTTAATAATCAACGTGAATGTATACATAAAAATATAACTTCTCTGGAAGAGTGAAACTACCCAACATAGGTACCATACTACCATCCACAAAGTGTACAAGTTGTTCTACATTTTTTGCTTTAAATATCTAACCTACGAAAAGAAAAGTTCGTTGTTTTTTTGGTATCCCAAATCAGATTTTGTGAAGTCATATACATATATTATACTTGTACATATAAAAATACATAAGAACCAATTTTAATAAATACTTATTGGAAAAACATACCTTTTGTAGGAAAAAGGGTTCGAGAACCTGTTACCGTTTGATTCCCAACTCATGTAATTTACAACTGAGCCGCATAACAATTACAAATAGGTACCCTAAAATTAGATTTATTTACCTTATTCTGTTACATTTGTTGCTTTCATCTTCCCGCCCCTCCCCCTCTGCTCCGGTTTAACAGAAACGCCGATCATGGTGTCGCCGCACGGGATTAAACTGGCGGTGCATCTCATCTCCGCTTACTTCGGCGATATCGTTTCTGTAAGTTCCTATTAATCTAATATCTCCTACTTTCCATCAGTGTTTTTCCGTCGAAATTTCTCCGAGTAGGGTACAATCACATACGATTGCAGAAAGTATGCGAATGTCTTCTACGTAAAGGAACACTATCACTACAGCAAGTGCTACGATTCACAGAACTCAATAAAGAGAATGCTGCCAACTCTTTACTTGTGTTGATTCAGCATAATTGCGTTCAAGCCTTCAGCATTGAACAACAAGGTACTCTTTCCTTTCTCATCAATTTTTTTCTTTCATTGTTTTTTATGTTATGCATCAACTTCAATGTCACAGTGCTTTTGCAATTGATAGTGTTAATTGAGTGCTCAATTTGTTTTAACTTAAGAATATCTGTGCTGTTTCAATAGTAAATTTAGATATGACGATACAGGTGGATTTATGGAACAACCAAAGATGGTGACTCATTATATGGCCTTACATGACAACATCATCCACCATATGAGATTCTCTAAGTTTTTGGCAATCATATCAGATGAATTTGGACAAGAGGTAAATTGGATGGGCTCCTTCTATGTAACTATCATCATTGCACAACTTTCTTCTTAACAGGATCCGATCACTTGTTTGTTTCTGACAAGTGACAGTGCATGGAGATTTTTGAAGGATTACTTCAACATGGTAGGTTATCAATGAATCAGATCGTGGATAGGTATAAAGATAAGCATAAGTCACATACAAGTGAAGAAAATAGCACTGCTGCTAATGTGGCACATGAAAACTTCAATAAACTTGCTCAGGCACACTATATTGAAAGATGCCCTGCTCGTGAACCATATCTTGAATCAGAAAAAGAAGATGATACTGCTGGAAAGAAAAAAACTGCCAAGTCTAAGGTAAAAACTATTTCTACAACCATTATTACATAATTCTTGCCTTAATCCTCACAATGAATAGAAATAGTGAAAAAGAAAAAGAGCTAACGGATAATAACTATGGTGATTCTGATCTTATTCTTAAACCAACTTCCCTTGATTTTCCCTCAAATGTAGATTTCAAGAAACTGATACTAAATATAATCTGATTTCAGATGAATGATCCATCACAAACCCTTGAAGCACGTGCATTAGCTGCTGCAACTCCTATGGAATCAATAAGATTTTTAGTTGAATCAGATACATATACCAATGGTGCCCCTGATGACAATAGCAAAAAAAACCCTACTACAGAAATCGTCGGGGAAAAGGTCTGTTTTGGTTTTATTTTCTCTTTCTCTTATTTGTATAATAAGTGTCAGTGGTTGTTAAGTTTTCAAATTTACAACTTGAAAATGGTGTCTTGAAATACCAAAAAAAAAGTGTTACAAATGTTGTGACATATCTCATATGGCCAATATTGTTCTTCACAGCGCAAGCAAAATTTCCTGGAACCTGAAAAAAAAGAAATCCTTTGGCGCGTCAATTTTGAGGAATTTGTGCGACACTTTCGCCACAAGGTTGTTGTTGTTTTTTTTTTTTACACTAAAAACATATTTAGCTTAAATTGATTTGATAATATCATAATTATATATAATATATTGTGGTTTACAGTGTTGTATTACCCATGTGACAACACGTATGGATAATGTAGCCGGCATTGTTCTAAGTGCAATTTTTGAGGCAACTAGAAGAGATGAAACTAAAGTGAAAATGGAAAAAACAGGTATGATATTGATTGCATCTTTGTAAACCTTTTTCTTGTTATATTTGGGATTCTAACAACATTTTTAACAATTTGGGTTGATAGTTCCTCTTCCCATTGATAGAATATATGAGGAAGCAATAAAAAGGGAAGAAGGTCGAAGTTTGAGTTTAGAGCGTGTTAGGGATTCCCTTGTCCAATTAGGCTGTGAACTCCCCATAATTGGGTTAGAGTTAGATGAAACATATAGTATTGGTAAGTCAAGTTTATAACTTATTTATTTATGATCCATTAAAACCCACCCGTGTTATTAAATTGTTTCACAGATTTGAAGAAGATCATTGATGAGGCTCAAGCTCAGGAGGTTGAATCTGTTGTGCTGAAAAAATATGGCAGGGAGGCTTATAGGATATTTAGATTATTATTACAATCCAAAAGGCTATGTGAAACTGATCAGGTACTCAAATCTTCTTCTTTTTTTATTCTTCAACAACTTAACTACTGTTCATATTATATATATATATATATATATATATATATATATATATATATATATATATATATATATATATAGGGCAAGTTTTAGAGAATAGCAACCTACTTTCCTCTATCTACCAATATGGGCAAAGTACTTTATTCAGTTATTTGTTACATATGGGTAAAACTTAAAAGAAATAAAGTCCATTGCCTAATATTGGTTAAAAAAGAGTAAAGTAGGTTGCTATTTCGTTTCCTTCATTTTTCCCTTATGTTTGGGTTTTTGTAGATATGGATGGCTACATTTGTTGATAAGAAAGATGCGTTGAAGATTCTATTTCAGCTATGGAAAGATGATTTGTTGCATATGGAGGTACTTTTTGTTTCTGTTTTCAGGGCTGTTGAGAATTAATGTTTACCATGATGATGATGATGATGTATGGTACAGAGAGTTGCAAATGAAGGACAGAAGTTGGAAAGTTTGTGTTGGAAGTTGAATAAGGTTTCTGTTTGGGAACAAGTTTTAGATGACATGTATCATGCTGCACTCAACTTAAAGCTTCGCCTTGTTCATGAGCTTGAACAAGCAAAAGAAGTATGATACATTTTTTTTAAATATATTTTTGGTTTATTATGATAATATATATTATATTATAGGGTTGCTTAATTTGTGTTTATTATTTTGTTACAGATCCTTCGTAAAGGAAAGAGTGTAGGAGACGAAGTGTTGGCAAAACGCAAGAAGGTTGGCGAAAAATGGGAGGTTCTAGATTCTTCTCTCATGATTCTTGATGATGCTATTATGCTATTTCATGACTTTTAAAGCAGGCTACTCTAGTATTATTATTCTTAATTTTTTTAAACCATCTCGAAAAATGGGAGGTTCTAGATTCTTCTCTCATGATTCTTGATGATGCTATTATGCTATTTCATGACTTTTAAAGCAGGCTACTCTAGTATTATTATTCTTAATTTTTTTAAACCATCTTGAATAAGGAACTTGGATACATGTGCTTTTTGGTATTTTTTTAGTTGAAGAATTTTATCATCGATACTATAAGTCCCCCTTATAAATTTCTTAGCTTTCCTAAATTTATCCCTCTTTGATTTTTGTCCCAAAGGGTTTTCTTTTTGCTATTTTTGTCCTAACGTTTTGGATCTTTGTTGCAAGTAAAATCAATTGTAAAAATTGCCTATACTCAAGGATCATAAATAGTCCCTTTACTTGTACAGTATAAGAATCTCAAAATAAAGACTAAAATTGCAAAAGAAAACCTTTGAGGGGACTAAATTATAATGGATCATTATATTAACTTGTTTTATATAAATTAACACAATCATAAAAAATTCCACTTGTCCATACCACCTTTTTTTTTTTAATCTTTCAAGATTTAAATAGAAGAGAGAGGGCTGGGCGATTGTTACTGCACCAGTGACTACTGATTAGTGTAGCAGTTATTTTCCTTTACAGTTTACGATGAAATACAGCAACCCCTACACAAAGTAACGAAATATGGCAACTCTTGCCCTATCCACATTTTTTAGTTTTTACAAACAACACACATTTAATCAATGATGAAGACATAATACATACATATGCGCATGCATTTATTTATTAAATTGTCTCATATGTATGAAAGAAAGTTGGCAAGCACATATATCATCATCATCTAGTAGTAGTAGTAGTAGTGGAGAGAGGAGGGTAGAATTAGAAAAGAGGTAAGTTTGGTGGGAAGCGAACGAGCATCCATTGTTTCTCGTATGTCACGAGATGCCCCCATCCAATCTCATCAAGCAAACATATTCTTTCTTCGTAAACCTTCTTTTGTGGGGGATCACCTTCTTCTTCCATCATCTCACCAATCACCTACACCACCCATCACCACCCATTCCAATAAGTAAAAAGATACAACTATAAATTGTTATATTATAATTAATTAATATTAAACCTTGAGTGCAGTGCCAAGCCTTCCACTATGCCTTTCCCGTATTATGACAAGAGTTTTATATTTAGGTGATTTTTTGTCCGCCCATTTCTGCAACTCTTTAAAAGTTTCTTCAAACAGATCTCCATCAGTAGTGGTAGTGGTAGTAGTAGGCTTGTCCACAACTTCTGCACCTAAGTTTGCAGCCAAAGCCGCCATCTCACCCTGCTGTAGTGTCTTCATAATTAATACATACATATTATAAAATTTATAATAAAAATGTATTCTACTAAGTGTTTACTAGTATATAAAAATATAAAATATGCAACTAAGTGTACCTTGAGGGATGCAAGTTCCACTAAAGCTAAACCTTTCTGGTACAGTGCTTCAACCAGCTGTTCAACTCGACTCTCCATCTTCTTCCTCGTTTTCTACACACATAATAATATAACAAAACAATCACTCTCTTCTCTTTGCAAAAACTTTTATCAAGAAAAGCACAAACATAATACTAATTACTAATAAACAATCAATCAGGTACCTACCTCAAATTCTTCCTCTTCAGGGTCACCTTTCATGGAAAGCAATCGTGCCAATTCATCTCTGTCAATACTCTCAACTACCTCATTCGCTGCACCAATTATCTGACAAAACAAATACCATACCACTATCACTATTATATTTCTTTTCAAATAAAAGCTGCTGCTAAATCATTGCATTAATTACCTCTTCATAATGATGTATTTTATCTTCCACTTCTTGGGAAACCAGTCCCTCCAATATTTTCGCCAGTAATGGAGTATATTTTGGATACTCCGCCTTCCATCAACAAAACAACAAATATGAATTACATCAAATATTCATATACCATATGACACCTCAAATCGAATGACTACACTACTACATACCTTGAGTGACACGGATAACTTTTTCCATTCTGCCCGTTCATCTTCTGTACCTTGTTTCAGACTTCCAAGAACTTTTATCTTCGTGTCACGCACCTTTACAAATGGAACCAAATATATATATATATATATATATATATATATATATATATATATATAGGAGGATGAGGAACCAAAACTAAGTTTGAACTTTGAAATTTCCTTCATTATACATACCTCTTCCTCTAAACGTTCTGAGACACTTTTTGTTGATGCCTTGCTAGAATTAGAACTCTTTCCCTTATCCTCATCAACCTGTCAAACAAAACAACAAAAAACAATTTTACTTAAGTGATAACATTATTAAAAGATTAAAAAAAAAAAAAAGGAAACAAACCTTAGTTGGTGGGACTTGATAAGATATCTGATATGATACAGGATTCTTTTCAGGGTCATTTCCTTGGTCCGTAACCTCAGCTGAAGGCTTTCCATATGAAATTGCACCAACCAGTACAGATCCTTCCCCAGAGTTCTATAACCAACCAATCACATAATGTCAAACTCAAACACAAAATTACATTTTCCTTTTGGACCCAAATTGCAAAAATACCCAACAACATTAACCTACCTTTGGAATCTTGTCCTTAGTCGGAGGCCCTACATAAAATGCTTCTTTTGACCTACAAGATAAACACCATACATACATAAACATGGGAAATTTGTAGAGAAGGAAAGGAAAACATAGTCATGGTTAACAAACAAACAAACCCGGGGTCTAAAGTTGACGACTTGAAGCTGCCACTACCCGTCACTGGACCATCTGGTTGTGTATAAAAGCTCAATTGCACAGCCTCCTGCCAGAATAATAAATATAAATATAATAAAAGGATTTTAAGTTTTGTATGAAGAAACAATAGAAATTAGTCAAATTAATTATTACCTTGTCCAATTTTCTCTCAATGAACAACACTAACTGCTTCAATTTCTCCAAGTACTGCACATTCTCATGCCTCAAGTGCAATTGCAAAGTGTATTCACCTTTGGGCAGTTTTGCTGACTCCGGGTACACATCACCCATGCTGTACACACGCTGTAATAACAAAAAAATAAAAAAATAAAAAAAATTACAAAATATGACATTTATAGCAAAGACATGACTTGATTAAAAAGAAAAAAAAAAAACCTTGTTAGAATCTGAAATCATATAAAACTGTGATTCAAACTTGTTATCATAGATACGGTTGTTAAGTAAAGGTATCTGTGGTTTCACATCAGCTCCTTCTTCCAACTTGAACTTATAAGTCAAAGTCAACGCAAGTATCTGTTTCCCATTAGGTAATCTATCTCTATCTGCTGAAAGAGCACTCATTTTTGCATCAACAGGCCGATAAGGAACCCTAATTTTGTTTAGCTTTGCGATAGGAGTAAGTTTCTCAGATGATAACAGAGCTTGTGCTTCGATTCTAACAGGCGCTTCACTTCCATCAAGGATTACCTCACTTCTGCTAAGATTTATACCATGGAATGCAATCTCAAATTCCACAACAGCAGTTTCTTGACTTCCGATTCCACTTGACCAGAACTGAGCAATTGCTAATTCCATTGTCCGACCAGCTTCTACAGAAAAGGTGAAACTCTTTGTGGATGGAGATGAGAATATTGCAACACTTTCCCACTTTATAGGCCTTCTTAGTGGAGAGAGCTGCACAACGTCTATGTAGAATCTTCTAGAAGTGTCAAAGCCTGATGTACGCATGGTTGCTTCCACCCAGGTGGCGCCATATGGGACCTCGATGTATTTGCGCACAATATGGCCTGGCTGGAAAGATAATCCAGGAAATGTAATTAATGGAGGCCGAGCTGTTACAATTTTTGGCTTTGTGATGGTGATCGGAATACGGAAAAGTGGACCCCGCCATGGGGCTTTACAGTCTATCCCGTACACTTCAAAATAATGTAAACCGTCACTAAGCTTTGTAGGGTCTACAACCACACTGGTAACAAGAAAGAAATTAAGGAATTAGCAAATGTTATTATTGTATTTGTATAATGAAGAGAAGCAGACTTATGGGTTAATGGGTTAAGTTATATATAGTTTGTTTCTTTTTTATTAACTTAATAATTTAATATGGACAGAGAACGATCTAATGTGTTAAGCCAAAAAATCTGGCTTAAGTGAATTAAGACACTAGCCCTTTACTGATAAATGTGATGAAAATTGTTTGTCGGAATGTAAGGGTAAAATGGTCATTTATTTTCATTCAGATGATTTAGTTAGTCAAGTACATCAACACATTCAGGACTTGGGGGATGTTTCTTATTTTCCCCATTAAGTCCTGTACAAATACAGTGGTTGAATGGGTAACGACTCCTCTCTGGATAAAGTGTTGTATACATAAATCTCTCTTTTGTTTCATTTTCTAGACAAAATAAACCATCTGAATGAAAATAAAAGACCATTTTATCCTTACATTAAAAAACAAATAAATTTCAGAATATTCATCAATTTAACATGAAAGGAATTGGGAGGAAAAATAAAGAATGGCCAGTGTCTTAATACGTTAGGCCAAGTTTTTTGACTAACACCATTAGGTCATGCTGTCCAGATTAAGTCGAAAAAGAAAAGAGAAGAAACAGCCATGTATGATGTATAGCTTTCCAGATTAACTGCTTAACCTATTAAGCCCATTAGGTCAAAGAGAACCCCTTACTTGAAGCTGCGACCATTATAAGTGAGAAGAAGAAACTCTGGAGCCTTCACCACGTCCTTGTCCTTTCCAGTAGAATGTAACTCAATGCACTCTTCAAATGGAACCAATTGTTCCAAATTACTTGCACCTTCATGGAATTGTGGTTCAACTTGCACTGTCCACTATTTGGATAGAATTTTGTCAATACAACAATTATGAAGATATTTAGTTCTACAACACAATGATGTGAACTTCTCTTACAAAGAGGAGGACACTGCTAGATAACAAAGTGATCATGTTATGTTTTGAAGATTATTAACCTTTGAAAAAACCTCCCATTAACTATCTGTTACATAAATGTTTACTACTTTTGCTCATTCGCTCTGTAACAGAACTATTTCAGATTTGTAATTCTCTCTATTAATTAATCATCAGACACTTTT